GAATCCCCTCCCTCGACCTGCTGGCCATGATTCTTTTGATGCAGCCCACAGTACAGTTGGCCTTCTGGGCTGGGAGCGCACATTGCTGGCTCATGTCCAGCTTTTCATCCCCCAGTACCCCCAAGTCCTTCTCAGCAGGGCTGCTCTCCATCCCTTCGTCCCCCAGCCTGGATTGATACCGGAGGTTGCCCCAACCCAGGTGCAGGACGTTGCAATTTGCCTTGTTAAACCTCATGAGGTTCACATGGGCCCACTTCAAATCAATGCATTCCTTTAGCCAAGAGGGTCAAGCAGAAAGTCCTTAGGGTTGACTGAATCGGGACTCTACAAAGGAAAGACACAAGGCAGCATCTTGATGAAACTGTACAGTCTTACCATTTCTATTAGAAGGGATCCCTAGACTACATCCTGCATTTAATATTTGCAGCAATTTACTGCAATTTTTCTAAAAGAATTAACCACTCATCTTCTTCAATAAGTTATTGTTAAATAAATCTTACTACTTCTCTTTGCTGCTGTTAGCAGTTTCTTTATAAATGCATATAAGAGAATTGATTGACCAATGGTTTAGGGTTTGCAAACCTTAAGGGAACCCAATACCTTGTAAAATGTCACCAGATCTTGCCAGACTGAAATTTCTAATTGAATTGACCTTTAACATAAAGTTCTGTTATAATTTCATTTCTTAGAAGAAATGCTCGTCAGTGACATTTCAAGTAAGAAGTCTAAAGTGTAAAGGAGTCTCTGTTCCACAAATTACAGCTGTAATTGACTGCAGACAGATCTTCCTCCAGTATTTAGTCTTGCAGCTGGAATGTGGGACTATATTGGATCCATTCTTAGTTTATCTAACAAATCAGGGTTCGTGAGGTTTGGCTGACACATGTTTCACTTTATCTCATCTACTTTAATCTTAGAGAACTGTTATCATTTCACCTGGCAAACCCCTCACCCAGCCAAACCAACAGCAGGAAGCAATGAAACCTCGTGAATGAACCAGCTGGTGCAGTGACTTCAGGCCAAGTGTGCAGAGTTACTAGTTTTGGAGCTAGCCTGGCTATGGATGCGTATGTTTAATGGCTTCTCCAAGCCAGCACTCTCAAATACCTGAGATTTTTTTGTCACTGCCCTTTAGTCACGTTTCTGTCCTTGGCACTTATTATCAAGGTGACATCTCCATCCCATCTCTCGTATGCCTCTTTGGGATGAGGGGATTCTGTTTACTGTTTCTAATTTACAAAATCTACTGAAATTTGTTTCTGTCAGATACTGGCCCACAGTCTTCCCTAACCTTTAGCTGATCAAGGAAATCCTTATTTACATAGAAACAGCGCAAAGCAACTCATCGTGTATTTTAAAATCAGAGCATGTTACTGGATGCACTGCTTTCCCAGGTGTCGCTTTACGTTCTGTAATTATTTCTGCAGCTTCCCTCCAAAAGTGCTCTTAGGATTTAATGGCATCAAGAGGTATAATCTCAGCTCCACATACTTTTCAAATTACAAGAAAGGCTGAAGTGAAGACAGAACTAACTTTACTGAAATTCTGTTTAAATCTAAAGGAAACAAACGCAGCTTGTCAAGCCTCATCCTTATGGGAGTCTGAATATTTTTCTACACATGCATGTCTTTGTGTTATACCTCCGCTTGGCTGCGTGCAAAGTTCTTAAAAGGATGTAAACTTTCTGAGAGCTTTCGGGTCCAAGGACTCAGGGGTGTATTCTCACAGGTTTATCCTGCCATCCATCCCCGCTTTGCTCTGGGGGCCCACAGCTGAGCTCAAGCAGCTGTGACTTGGTTGGCTGTCTCAAGTTCTCCTGTTTGTTCTTGAGAATCTGTTGTGGTTACAGCTGTCGGTCCAACACAGCAGCCGTTGTGGCACCGAGGGCTTTTACACAGTCAGAGGATGCACAAAATATCATAATGCAGCTTTACTGTATCTGCTCCAGGGATGAGTTGTCTTCCCAGGTGTGGTCTTTAGCACAGCTAAAGCCTGTGCTGCCATTCCTGGTTTGAAAAGATTAGTTTTCTTTGTTCAAAGACAGCATAAAAATTAAAATGTGAATAGAATATGAGGCTGGAGAAGAGTAGCCTGTATTTGGCTTAATATTTCTACTTCACACAGAACTTGTAGTTTCACCAGTGATAGGCTTCAAAGAGGATGTGGTTTATGTTCGTGCTATTCAAATGTCTCGAAACTAGTAACAGTCAGTCTGCCTGGGTTTTAAATGTTAAACCAAACTTGTGTTTTCTTCATGTTTAACAACTATGAGCAAGGATTAGGTTTACAAGGACAGGGGTGCAGCGTTTGTCCAGCCGAGGGTTGAGTTTGCAGCGGTGGTGGACTGGGAATGTACCTGGTTAGTGTAAGAGAGGCCAATGGCTCTGCTGTGCCCAGGCTCTCCGGGTGACGACAGGGGCCTGGTGGCTGCGAGCACGGTGCTTTCCCTGCAGAAACGGGGCGCCCGGACACAAAGCTACGTCGTTTCATTTTGTATGCTGCACTCATGGTCCTTCCTTTGAGAATAATATCAAGCAGCTCACTATCGTAGTTTTTATTGTGTCCTTAACCGTTTTCTTTACTTTCCTGAATCCCATCAAATTTTGCTGATGTTGTGTGATCGGCACGTCAGTATGTGAGACAGGCAACGTGAATACGCTGTAAGAATTTTAGATACGTCATCTTTCCATCTTTACACATTGCATCATCTTGCTGGCCGTTTTCGTACACCTGTCAGCCGTAATGGATCCCTTTCCTGAGATGACATGGTTCATTTAGATTGCTACAGGCTCTACGAGCATCTTGGGGTTTTTCCTCCAAAAATGTGCTTACTCCTTTTTTGATGTTTTACTTCATATTTTTGGTCTTTTGTTCTCTGAATTATATTTCTCTGAATTTCCACACAATTCTCTCTGATCTTAACTAAACTAAATATTTAATATTTTACTGTTTCCTGCCTTCCAGCCTGTCAGGAAGCACCAAAATGCTCCCTACTTAGTATGTGACCTTGCAGAATTTTTGCTGATTTCTTGCCTGATTACCATTTGATTCTGTTCTTTGCCTTCTGTCCCATCCAGCATCAGAGTTATGCCAATTCTTTGTTTTTTAAACAATAGCCAAATAATTTTTAGAAGTCTTTTGTTGAAAATCTCTGGAAGTGTGAGTGAACTCTTAGCAACAAACTTTCTTTTCTTCCAGTTCTCTTTATCGATGCATTCAAACAATTCTAATGGATTTGTGAGATCTGCTTTTCCTCTCCAGGTGCTGATCAGACTATGACCTTTCCAGCATCTTCTTATTCTTCTTGAACTGCAATTTCAACCAAATTGAGAGACAAATGCAAGTTTACAAACATTCTTACTGCTCTTTCAAAGTACAGATATAACCTTTGCTTTCCAGGTTTTGGTGTAACGTTGTGGGGGGGTTGCCTTTTAAGTGGTAGTTCTGCTTGCTGTGCGACTGTGTCATCTTTTATCATGTGCATGTATCATCTGGGCATGGCAATCTTGTCAGTGACACTTAAATTACCGGTTTCCTACCATAGGTTTTATTGTTGTTGTTTTTAATGACATTTCAGAGTCTGGTATTACCTCATCTCTGTTGTGTGTGCTTTCTAAAAACCTTGCTCTTTTCACTTAATGTCCATGCCACATGTGAGAATTCTGCTTTTTATAATTTGTTGTTACTAATTCTATGCATTTTATTGAAATGTTGCTTTCTGATGCTTACTGTCACTGCATTATTTTCCGGAGCTTCCCTTCTCTGTGGATACTGAGCAGGATCACACTGTGGCTGTTGTTAATGAAGAGCTGTTGTCGTTATCTCTTAACTCCTTTCCGTTGCAGAAGGATACTAGTTAAGCCCCATATATTCTAGAACTAATTGCTTCAGGAAGCAATAATTTAAATAGTTTACATGTGAATCTGTTTATTATCCTTTATGGTAGGGGTTCTCCCCGCCCTGGGATCAAACATTCTTTTACTCTTCGTTTTGTTTCCTTGATCTTACAGTGGGCATTATTATCTATACAAATTCATGTGCAGGTATGTATACAGACCACGAATTTGCTAACTTACGTGGTTTTCTTTTTAACTGGCTGCCTCCATACCCAGCCTCACAGATTTACCTTCAGAGTTCCCTGCAGGCACAGCCGTATCTCACTGATGTTCTTGGCTGTGCCTACATAGCGTTTGTTTTGTTACGGCCATCATGCAATGTAAGGCATTGCAATTAATGTCATTTTGCTTTTGTCTTTTTTTGTTGTACTATTTCAGTCTCAGCAGCTAAACAGCTTTGACTAGCCCTAGTGTGCTGATTACCTGGCTTTTTGTATAGGTACATGTGATGGGTTAACCTTGGCTCCTGGCCAGTACCATATATATTTGCCAAGACAATACAGGCAAACCCGTGATTATGAGAGACTGGAACCGCATGCCTCCCCTGGCTGGCCACGTATCCATCACCCCACTGCTGCCAGAGCAGAGTAGTTTGAGTATCCTGTGCCAAATAGGTATAGTCGAGCTATATACACTTCCTTTGTGTGTCATTTATCTTCGCGCTGTTGCGAGGGATGCAGATTTAATCTGATCAGAAACTGCTGTCAATTAGGTGTCTGACCGCAGGACATTCCAAATGAAGACAACCATTGCCTGTATTTCAATTTAGATTTGAATTAGGTAAACCTGCGTGAACCTGAAGCTTTTTCTCAAGCTGCTGTGTTATTTGTTAGCGGCTATTTACAAGATTAATAAAAAAGAGATGGACAAGAGATGAAAAATCTCAAGTTGGTCATAGGAATTGCTGTTGGCTTTCAGAGGAAAACAGCTGCCTCGGTGATGGTGAGGAAATAGAAATGATTCTTCGTGCAAAAAGTAACATTTGCTAGAGGTGCAATTTTCATGAGCCTCATGAGATGATCTGAAACGGTGAGGACTGGCTAACGTGCTGCAGGCAAACGTGTAAAGGTCAGATTACGTATATGTATTTTTTTTTTCTTGTAGTGTCATCTAGACTGTCACAGACATCCTCCCCTCAGTCAGGCTGCCCGTCACCTTCCATCCAGACAGGCAAAGTCATCTCCTCATCCCAGAAGCACAGCAAGAAGGCACTCAAACAGGTAAGTAGCATAATCTGGAACCTAGTTTAGGGATCGTTGCAGTTATTTTATTTCTTGGGTAAATCATCTTTCTCAGTGAAGCTGCACTCTGCAGAGGAGTAATTCAGAACTTCCTGGCTGTCTCATAGTAAACAGGGTTTTGCTAAAACATTCCTCTCTCTTAAAGGTGATTCAAAATATCGGTGCTACTTAGTTCTTTGCTTTTTCCCTAAATAAGCATCTGAACATTTTTTTGTTATTATTTTAAAGAACTGATGTAAGATGTTGTTTCTTTTCACCTAACCTTTTGATGAGCATGCTTAGCTTTCTACAGTCTGTTTTAGTAAATGGAAGGTCTTTTTGGGGAAAGAATTAAATCCACTGACTTCTTCCCCTAGATAGCGGCATACTTTCTCTTCCAAGGAGTTCTGTGGGTGCAGTGTGTATGTATATATGGAGGGAAGAAGGGGAAGGACAGCACACTGACTTTGCATTGTACCTCTGCTGGCTGTTATGAGAGCAAGAGGAGGACTGATTGTTTTCCATGCTTGGGAAATGACTGTTGTGTAGATAGTGTTAATTGTGTGCATGCAGGATGGAATGGGTAAGCGTTTGTACTTCAAATGATTTGTTTCTCCTAATGAAAAATGCAAGATGAATTAGTCCTCTGAGTGTCTTATTTGCAGGTGTTTCCTCAACTGCATTGTTTAGTTTTCCATGATCCTTAGAAAGGAAATGCTTTACCAGGGTTAGATTTACTCCTTAGTAAAGTAAAAAATCTGTAAGGAGTTATGAATCAAGTTGCAGAGGAGGTGCTAGTCCAGGGATTACGGAAGCTTGTCACAGACAGATGAAATCATGATGTGTTCCAGATAGGATTTACCTTTTCCAGCCCAGCCTGTTTTCCTGACTTTTTCCAGCTCAGCAGCAACACTCAGGATGGCATTCAGCTAACAGAGATGCCTGTGGCCCTGGAAAAAGGATCTGCAGTGAGAGAGAAGGATCTAATTAGGGCATGTTATTGAGGAGAACATTACAGGGGAAGATAAGGCAACTGGATAAACGGGAGCTTTGTTTCCAGCAAGAGGGGGTTGAGTTGATGTCAAAATGAGATGCCAGCTTTAGGGAATCTTCTCTCTCCTCTCTTTTCCACTTGGCTGGTTCTCAACAGAAGCATCAGTGTTACTGTGACGTTGCTTGCTGCTGATAGCCGCAATAAAGAAGCGAGATTGTGTTGTCACTTTGGGCAGATTTTCTTCTGAAGTTCAGAGTCAAGCTTCCACTTCCATTTGAATCCTCAGAAAATTGCTTCTCACTAATTCAGCAAGATATTAATTATACTCTTTGCTTTCCCTTCCTCATCCCTGTTTAAGCCTTGCTGGCAACCATTTCTCTCCAACATCCACAAAGGCTTTTCTCTTTTAAGAGAGTGATCAAACAGACTCAGGGTTTGTTATAAACAGTCCTCTTTCCCCACTCGTGTTCAGAAGTTCCTCTTCATTTTCTCTGGTCTGTAGGTCCTTGTGTCACAGAATCAGAGGTTGGAAGGGACCTCTGGGCAAACCCACACTCCATTTCCAAACCTACGCTATTTCCAAACCTGCACTCCATCTGTTTTTCTCCTCTCTTCCCAGCCTCTCTCCTTACATGCCTAATAATTTTCTACTTTTCATCTCTGAATTCCCCATGCTCCTGCTCCCACCAGCCTTCCCCCACCTTTATATTCATTCCCCTCTGTCTCTGCTCTCTCCCTCCTCCACCCCCCAGCTTTCTTATTCTGAGATGTCTACTTCCCAAGCATCCTTGCTCCAGCGCTGTCTCTGAATGTAATGAAACACATCAGAGCCAGTGAGTTCCAAAATTGAGACAGCATTCTCAGTTTCACTGTTAATCTCATTGGTTTGGGGGAAAAAATGAGAAACCCTGAAAGAGAAATGGGGAGCCACATGGAGGCCTTGGTGTCTGCATAGCATACCTGTTTGTACTTAACAGTTCTGCAGCTCCCTGCAAGGCAAAAAGCTGTTTCTGATGGTCATCATCTTCCATCACAACAGCTCTCCTCCCTGAACTCAACTCTTGTGGCCCAGAGTAGAGCATCAAATTGTAGCATAGTGAATAACTTGCCTTCTAGGCACACAGGAAAAAAAGGTGTTGCCAAAGAACACCATAACTGTTCAATCATTCTAACCTACCTGCCCAAAGTTTGCTCTAGCTTTGGATCAAATTCAGAACATTCTGTGCCCAATCCTTTGCTTGATTTTAGTTCCAGTGGAATTCTGCCATTTTGACGAAATATCACATCTTCCACCTCTTCCTAAACACGGTTGCCACTGTGGTCACGAAGAGTTATAAAAAGTAGATAGAATGAGCAAATATAGATAGCAGGAAGGAGACAGCAGTGTTATGAGTAGAGTGGTAGGAAAAACATAAGATGTTGAGGGAAACAAGAATTAAAGAAAGCTTTCATATTTTTAATTATGTCTGCGACCCAGATTATTTGCTAGCGTGCACTGGAGAAGACGGCTGGCTGGATTCAGCCCTCCTGTCTTAAGCGCTAAGTAATTGTAGTGTTAGCGGAGGGAAGAGAGAGCAGATTTCTAAGTGAGAACTTTTAACCCTGGAACACCATGCTGCCGCTATACTGACAATAAGTATCAGCTCCTTTAAGAAACAAGGATCAGGATTTAGTTCATAAACGCATCAGAGTTAAAACTGTAAAATACAGCCAAATAATACGGTGTGTACTGGTGTGCCATCACCACACAGTACAGTAAGTAAGCAGATGGCTGCGTTCCTTACAATTGTTTGGAAAAATCCCAAGTTAGAGATTTGCAATATCTGAATCTAAATTGGCAGAGACATGTCAGTGCTCATCCTGTTGGAACGATGAAACAATCATGAGGAGAAACCCCCTTTGTTACAGTGAGTGTGTGCTGATACAAAAAAGCACCACGTTGAGACTCTGAAATTTATAATGCAGATCCAGAAAGACGGGTGGTTTCTCACCTGTCACTGGAAAATGCAGGTACGACTCTAATTCTTTCCTCTGATCCTCTCCAATCCACTGACCTTCATCTCATCCTTACCTAGCTTGAGTGGCCATCCCAGTGCCATCAGAATTCACAGCATCACAGAAACCCAGAGTGGTTGGGGTTGGAAGGAACCTCTGGGGTCCCTCTGCTCCAACTCCCCTGCTCAAGCGGGGTCACCCAGAGCCAGTTGCCCAGGACCATGTCCAGTTGGGTTTTTAATGTCTCCACAGGTGGAGACTCTACAGCCTCTCGGGGCAACCTGTGCCAGTGTTTGACCACCCTCACAGTAAAAAAGTGGGTTTTTTGTGTTCAGATGGAATTTCTTATTTTGTGCCCGTTGCCTCTGGTCCTGTCACTGGGCACCACTGGAAGAGCCTGTCTCCCTCTTCTTCATTCCCTCCCTGCAGGTATTTATGCACATGGATTCAGTCCCCCTGAGCCTTCTCTGCTCCAGGCCGAGCAGTCCCAGCTCCCTCAGCCCCTCCCCACAGCAGAGACGCTCCGGTCCCTTCAGCATCTTGGTGGCCCTTCCCTGGACTCTCTCCAGTCTGTCCGTGTCCCTCTTGTACTGGGGAGCTCAGCACTGGATGCAGCGCTCCAGGGGTGGCCTCACCAGTGCTGAGCAGAGGGGAAGGATCCCCTCCCTCGATCCAGATCTCATCATGGTGTTGTAAGATTAGAAATTACACCCTCTGCTCTGATAAGGCTTATACATTTGGCTTTCATCATTATCCATTACACTTTTTTATCTGTTGTTGCCACACACGTGGAATGAATAAGGCCAGGGACTGGGTTGGGCCACACTCTACAAAAGCTCTCCGGCTGGTGAATAGTCGCTTTGTCCCCTTTTGTGTGAAGAAGGGAGCTGTACAATACAGATTTTTCCCCATTAGGTGCATCCCCGTCGGTTTTTAACATCGTTACCAGAGACGTAGTCAGGTCCAGAGCAAGAAGTGGGTGCTTAGGAGCAGCTCCTGGTCCTGCTGTGGTCACTGTTGTCATCCACAGTGGAGCTGACAGGGAGGAGCGTGCTGCTGACATAAGGTCTTTGTTTAAATTACAATTAAAGGAGGTGCTGATGATACCAATTGAATGGCGCCATTTTGAAGTAGGATCTTTTTCAACTCTATAGAATAAAGTGGTGGTTTCCGCCCTCAACAGCGGGGGTTTACCTCAGAGCTACCCTTTGTGCAAACGCACCTGTGGGCTGAGGAACATCTGCCCTCCATCGAGGGCGGCACGGCGCACCCAGCGAGAACAAAGGACAACTTAAAGGCAAACAAAATGGAAACAACCAGCCCCTGTGCACGCACGGGCACAGAGGGAGTACCCGGGCAGCGCGGGTGAGGGTTAGAGGAGAGCCGGTGGGCTGGCGCTGGCGGAGGGGTTTGCTGTGTGCCAGGGTCTGTGGAGAGACCCTCTGAGGGCGCCGCTGCTGCCTCCAGAGGCTTCCACAGCCGCGGCGCCCGGGAGCCGCCG